TGTCCCTCAGCTCTTCAGCTCAAGGCTAGCACTCTACCATGAGCCACAGTGCCACTTCCGGCTTTTTTCTTTTTGCTTATGTGGTGCTGAGGAATCGAACCCAGGGCCTCAGGCATGCAAGGCATGCGCTCTACCACTGAGCCACCTTCCCAGCCCTCAAATAAAATTTTTGAGATAATAATCCTTCAGACTTAAGTCTCTATCCAGAATGATAGGATTATAGGCATGCACCACCATAAATGGCTTCAGATATTAAACTGAAAAAAAGAAGGGAGGCTAGAGGCATGGCTCAGATAGTTGAGCATCAACTAATGAGCAAAAGCATCAGATCAAGGATTTGAGTCAGCCAGATACTAATGGCTCACTCCTGTAACCCTAGCTACTCAGGAAGCCCAGATCTGAGGATCATGGTTCAAAGCTAGCTGGGGTAGGAAAGGCAGTGACACTGTTATCTCCAATTAACCATCAGAAAACTTAAGTGCTGCTATGGCTCAAAGTGTTAGAGCACTAGCTAGCAGCAAAAAAGCTAAGGGACAGTACCCAAGCCCTGAGCTCAAGCCCCATGACCAACAACCACCAAAAAATAAAAAAAAAATTTAAAATTAAAAAATTAAAAAAAAAATATATATATATATGTATATATATATATATAGAGAGAGAGAGAGAGAGAGAGTCAGTCACTTATGGCTCATACCTTAATCCTAGCTACTCAGGAAGCTGAGATATGATGATCACAGTTCAAAGCCAGCGCAGACAGGAAGTCCCATGAGACCATCTCCAATTAGCTACCAAAAAAGCTAGAATTGGAAATGTGGCTCAAGTGGTAGAGCACTAGCCTTGAGCAAAGAAGCTCCAAAAAAAAAAAAAAAAAGGAATCCCAGTCTCACCTGATGTAGGTAGCTAACATCTGTAATCCTACTCAGGAGGCTGAGATCTGAGGATTATGGTTCAAAGCTAGCCTGTTCAGGAAAGGCCATGAGAGGCAGAAAGTAGAGCTTTTGCTCAAGTGATAGAACCCTAGCCTTGAGCCCAAAAGCTCAGAGACAGCGCCTAAGCCCTTAGTTCAAACCCCTGAAGTAGCAAACATACAAAACAAACAAAAAATCCACAAAATCCTAAACTATAGCTTACAGAGAATACATAATTTGCCTGTAATTATAGTTAATAGCAGAATCTATAACAACTCAGATTTCTAATATTTTCCCCCTTATCACACTACCTTTCTGAAACGTTCAGGAATGGAAGGTTTAAACTTTATCACAAGTAGGATTTTCTCTGAGATAGTCACTCCTGGGTACTCAGGAGTGAAGTCACAATGAATTCATTTCTCATTGATGACAGTATAATACCATTGTTTGTCCATCACCAACATAATACGATGTAATAATTGGGCTTCATCTACAAAAAAGAGACAATATTCCCATAAAAACTTTTGTTACAAGTTTACAAATTTCAACACAAGGTTCATCTTTTTTTTTTTTTTTTTTTGGTCAGTCGTGGGGCTTGAACTCAACACCTGGGCACTGTCCCTCAGTTCTTCACCTCAAGGTGAGTGCTCTAACACTTGAGCCACAGTGTCACTTTATTGGAGATAACAGTCTCATAGACTTTTCCTGCCCGAGCTGGCTTTGAACCATGATCCTCAGATCTCAGCTTCCTGAGTAGCTAGGATTACAGGTGTGAACCACCAGCGCCTGGCTACATTACAGTTTCATTTCCACTAAGGAAGATGAATTTTTTCTATCGTGATCAAAACTTCCACACTGAGCAGGCCAAAAAACCATTGTTAATACCTCACAAAATTATGTCTTTTTTTAAGCCTAAAAAAAAAAATAAGCTGGGCTCATACCTGTAATCCTAGGTATTCAGGAGGCTGAGATCTGAGGATCATGGTTCAAAGCCATCCCAGCCAGCAAAGTCCCCATGAGACTCATCTCCAATTAACCCCTCAAAAACTGGAAGTGGCACTATGTCTCAAGCGGTAGAACCCTAACCTTGAGCACAAAGAGGCTCAGGGAAAGCACCCAGGCCCTGAGTAAAAGCCCTACAACAACAACAACAAAGAGCGGGGGGAGGGAAGAAAAGAAAAAAGAAAAGAAAATAGAAGAAATGTTATTAGAGGTCCTGGGGTAGGAGATTCTTACCCACTCACGTGTGTGTGTGTGTGTGTGTGTGTGTGTGTGTGTGTGTGTGTGTGTGTGTGTGTGTGTGTGTTGACACAAAATTAAGAAAATTAAGACCAATTCTATGCCAAATCACAAAGGATTTGTGTTTGAGAATATATGTTCCTAAAAACCTATCTGGATAAGAGAAAAATACATCATAGCTTTGATATACCACACAACTGAGATTTTACTATTAATTCACACACAAACATTTGTACCATCTAGTACTACTACTACCACTACTACTACTACTACTACTACTACTACTACTACTACCAAGAGCCTAGGAACCTCCAATGCAACTCTGGGTTCCTCCTGGTAAGTTGTTCTTTGTACCCTCTGGGTAACAGTGACATCCATACAAATGACATATTCAACCTCTCACTATTTCAATAACCTACCATTCTATTTCCCTTCAACAACACTGAGATGGTTATACCTTTTTTTTTTCCTTGAAACATTAAACTCTGAATTTTCTACTTAAACAATTTTTATAAAACCTGATCTTCCAACTGGATTTCTGATTATCTCCTTAACCTCTGAATATACCAGCCTCTTTTTGGGGGGTGGGAGGTAATACCAGGGTTGAATTCAGGTTCTTCTGTTTTTTTGTTTGCTAGGCAGGTGTTCTACTACTTGAGCCTTGTTCTCAGTCAAGGTTTTACTGCTACTAACACTCTAGACTGGCAAAGTCAAATCTTATCTCCCACACTGTCACCAGCAGTGTAAAGTTGCTCTCTATTTTATCCTTCTGTTTTGCAAAGTCTACTTCTGGATCAACTTACTCACCTTCTTTGCACTCTTCCTTTTAGATTGTGAAGAAAATGTAAAATCCATGGTATGGTGGCCCATCACAAACATAACTAACTAGGCTCTTAATATGCTTGATAATCTTTTTTAAAAAATATATGTATTCCTCTTTAATTTTCCACTGATGATTCTCTTGGCCATGACACTCAAGCTTAAATTTATACTTCCTTCAGCCTCCAGAGATAATTGATTTCTTCACAGATAGTTGTTATTTCAAAAAAGTAAGGCAAGCCAGCCACTGGTGGCTCATGCCTATAATCATACCTACTCAAGAGGCTGAGGTCTAAGGATTGCAGTTTGAAGCCAGCTCAGGAAGGAAAGTCTGTTAGCGTCTTACCTCCAATAAACTGCTCAGAAAAAGCTGAAAGTGTGCTGTGGTTCAAGTGGTAGAGTGCTAACCTTGGCCAAGTTCAAGCCCCAGGATAGGAGCATACACATAAACACACAGAAACACACGCAGACACACACAGAGACACACACACACACACACACATCCCAGTTCAAGCCCCAGGATAGGAACAGACACATAGACACACACACAGAAACACACACACACACATCCAAGTTCAAGCCCCAGGATAGGAGCATACACACACACACACACACACACACACACAGGCAAATAAATAGGCCATATCACTTTTTTTCCCTCCTATTATATCCATCTTGACTTTATTGGTTTTTTTTTGGGGGGGGGGTTGCTTTTTTGTTTTTTTTGTTGGTCATGGGGCTTGAACTCTAGGCTTGGGCGCTGTCCCTCAGCTCTTCGGTCAAGGCAAGCGCTCTACCGCTAGAGCCACAGTGCCACTTCCGGTTTTCTGGTGGTTTATTGGAGATAAGTCTCACGGACTTTCCTTGCCTGGGTTGGCTTTGAACCAAGATCCTCAGATCTCAGCCTCCTCGGTAGCTAGGATTACAAGCGTGAGCCACCGGTGCCTGGCTAACTTTATTGTTTTTTGTTTTTTGTTTTTTTTTTGTCGGTCGTGGGGCTTGAACTCTGGGCCTGGGCGCTGTCCCTCAGCTCTTCAGCTCAAGGCGAGCGCTCTACCACTTGAGCTACAGCGCCACTTCCGGTTTTCTGGTGGTTTATTGGAGACAGGAGTCTCACAGTCTCTCCTGCCCGGGCTGGCTTTGAACCGCGATCCTCAGATCTCGGCCTCCTGAGTAGCTAGGATTACAGGCGTGAGCCACCAGTGCCCGGCAAACTTTATTGTTTTGATGTGAAGGAAATGTCAAGATAAACTCTTTCTCCAAACTTCAAGTTATTTTGCTCATATGAAAAAGGAAAACACACGTGAGCCATAGTAGAAAGAACCCAAGCTTCAGAACTAGGCAGACCTTGTTCAAATCTTAACATTCTTATAAACTGTAAAAGAGGAATACTGACAATCCTCTAACTGATTATAATCTATAAAGCATCTTTTTGGTACCTACATTGACCATAGTTTCAACTAGCAATTTTCCTTGACAACTATTATTTTGAAAGAGTAATTTTACTCCAACCTCCCATTTATTCTTCAATCTATGATCTGACAACTGTTGTGTCACTGTTACCACCACACTATCAAAACTGCCTTCAAGGAAACAAGTGACTTCCTAATTAATAAATTCATTAACTTCTTTCTCTCATTCTACTTGTCTCTGGTGAGAGTTATTCCCCTTGAATCTTCAAGCTCTTTCTACTTTTGGCTTCTATATGATGCCACACTGTTTTTAGTTCTTCTGTTTGTTTTCTTTTCTTTTCTTATGCCAGTATTAGGGCTTGACCTCTGGGCCTAGAGTTCTTGCCTGGCTTGCTTACTCATGCTTGATGCTCTACCACTTGAGCCACATCTCCAGTCCAGCATTTTTACTAAATTGGAAATGGAGTCTCACAAACTTTTCTCCCAAGGCTGGCTTTGAACAGGGATGTTCTAGGTCTCAATTTCTAGAATAGCAAGAGTTCATGTAGCATGGACGACCAGCAGTCTGGGCATTGTCCCCCAGCTTTTTCACTAAAGGTTGTCACACTACTACAAGAGCCACAGTTGCCTTCTAGCTTTTCTGGTTGTTAATGGGATGTATCTCACAGACTTTCCTGTGGGGGCTGGCTTTGAACAGCAAGCCTCAGATCTCAGACTCCTGAATAGCTAGGATTACAAGCATGAACCACTAGAGTTCGGTTCTTTCTAGTTCTTGTCCCACTCCTTTAACTTCTCTTTTTCAGTGTCTGTGATCTTTCAGCAATGATGCTTTTTCAGGTCCACAGCCCTTTTTCTTCTCTTCTTTCAGTATTACATCCCGTACTAAGGTCTCAGATTGTTGCCCCATATACCCTCTCTTGTGTATTCATACACCCTCTTTATGTATTCAGTTCTAAACTATTTTTTCAGATTTTCAGATCTACATTTCTAGTCATAGCTGAAAAAAAAATCTCAAAATGAATTTGTTCAAATTCATTGCCATCTCCCAAAATTACATTCTCTACCATCATTTGTAGCATAAGCCAGAAATCCTTCAAAAAAATTCTCAACCTTATTTCAAAACCTCGTGGGAGAGGGGTGGGAGGGGGGAAACGTCTTGGAATTTCATGCCATCCTGGTTCACTCTCATGCAAATTAGTATACTAGTTTCTCCTAGGCCTTCAGGCATTCAGGCGTTCAGTCTTCATTTTCAATACTATATCCAGGTTTTCACTAGAGATAATTCAATCATATCAGACTGCATACAAACTGCAAGGCTCCCCGTGCCTACAGAATAAAGTCCAAATTCCTTGGCAAGTTATTCTCAGCAATATATATTGAAAGGTTTTAAAATTAGACAAACCTGGGTTTCATTTCTGGCTAAATCTAAACAGTGATTGAGTCCAGAGTCTTAAACGAAGGGGAAAGACCAAGGAGGGAAAAGAGAAGAGGGAAGTCTCTTCTGAGGGCAGAAGTGGGTGTCCGGAGTGACAAGCATGTTTGATGGAAATAAGTGAAAGAGTTTAGAGCTCCGAGGCAGGACCGGGTACAGAGGCCCAAGGAGGCGCTCGGCGGGGGGAGGAGGCAGCTAGCTGGAGGTCTGTGAAACAGGAGTTTTCTGAGGGCACGGAGTATTGCAGAATCTTGAAAATGAGGAAGGTCCCTGTCCAGGGTAACTTCTAAAGGGTTCCCCGCCTCCGAGAGAAGGCGGGAGCCTATCCTGGTACCCTGAAGAAAATGAGAATGGAAAAGTGGGAGAGAGAGGTAATGTTCCTGCCGCTGCGGGAAGGACCTGAGGGAAGCCACCGGGTCCTGTCCAGTGCTAAGCGACCCAAGTGCCAAGGTTCCGGGACCAGGGAGGCGGAGCTGCTACTCGCGGGACGGGATGCCCCAGTTCGTACCCCACGCGCTCTCTGATGTTACCTGAGGCGGGAACGAGCAGCCGAAGAGGTGCCTGAGCGGGCCAAAGGGAAGGTGGTGGCCCAGAGGAAGCATAGTAGCCTTGGCAGCTTGGTGGCCGCAGCTGCTTGTTAGCCTGCAGAGGCGGTGGGGGTCTCTCTCGCTGAAACCGGCGATTCCGCGGAGCTACCGGCGGCAGAGGACGAGGAGGCTACGGCCATGGCCCTGTAGTCGGGCTGTTCTCCGCGCCCCCCCGCCAATTTGGCGGGGTCAGGAGAGGAGGAGCAGACCTGCGAGACCTAGGAGGCAGCGGCGAACTCTGCTGGACTGCCTGCCGGTCGCGAGCGACTGAAACGCCTGGGGCTCGGAGGAGGGGCTACCGTAGGCCACGCCCCCTCCGTTGCCCTACCTAAGGAGCAGCCAATCAATCGTCACTTGTTGATAAATGAGCGAATGGAACTGTCCAATTAGAGTTATGAAGGACACGTGGTATGAGGGTGGGCGCAATGGGCGTGCACAGAAGCCAATCAACGGCCCTAGGCGCCAACTCTTGGAGGACGAAGGAAACCAATAGGAAAGAAGTAGGGGCAAAAACAGAAGAAGCAGTGTGTTGGAAAAGCGGAACTATAGAGCAAAGAATACACCTGGGGAAAACCCAAGCCTGAAGAGTAGAAGAGCCACACAGTTAATTCACGATGGGCTATGCAAAATGTCAGAGGCAGAAGTGGTAATTGATAAGGACAATAGCACTGGACTACACTGGAGCAGCCTTTAGGTTAGTCAAAGTACAGCTGAGGTAGGAAAAGCCCTATAAATGTGTCTTGAAGGATCATAGTACAGTGAGAGGAAAAAATGTAATCTATAATAATTAGCGACTTGAGATAGTAAGAAGGGTAAATAAAATCAAACAACATGCTAAGGAAAACATTGGGACAATTCACTCTAAGAGATTGGATTCTGAGCCGGGCGCTGGTGGCTCACGCCTGTAATCCTAGCTACTCAGGAGGCTGAGATCTGAGGATCGCGGTTCAAAGCCAGCCCGGGCAGGAGAGACCCTGAGACTCCTATCTCCAATAAACCACCAGAAAACCGGAAGTGGCGCTGTAGCTCAAGTGGTAGAGCGCTCGCCTTGAGCTGAAGAGCTGAGGGACAGCGCCCAGGCCCAGAGTTCAAGCCCCACGACCACAAAAAAAAAAAAAAAAGAGATTGGATTCTGCTCACTTCCGAATCCTTACTACTCTGGAGGCTAAATTCTAAGGATTGCTGTCTGTAATCCTAACTACTCAAGGGGCTGAGATCTGAGAATCGCGGTTCAAAGCCAGCCCGAGCAGGAAAGTCCTTCAGACTCTTCCCCCCCCCCCCTTTTTTTCTGGTCAGTCGTGGGGCTTGGACTCTGGGACTGGGCACTGACCCTTAGCTCTTCAGCTCAAGGCTAGCGCTCTACCACCTGAGCCAAGCGCCATTTCCTGTTTTCTGAGGGGTTTATTGGAGATGAGTGTCTCGGACTTTCCTGCCTGCTCTGGTTTTGAACTGTGATCTCAGATCTCAGCCTTCTCAGTAGCTAGGATTACAGGCGTGAGCCACCAGAGCCCGACAATTGAGACTCTATTTCCAATTAGCTACCAGAAAACCAGAAGTGGGGCTGTAGCCCAAGTGGTAGAGCACTAGCCTTGAGCTGAGGAGCTCAAGGACAGCGCCCAGGCCCAGAGTTCGAGCCCCAGAACTGACAAAAAAAGAAAAAAAAAAACTTAGACCTGATCAAACTGAGATGAGACTCAGTGGATCTAAGACCTATTGTGCTGCCAACCCCTGAGATAAGAGGCTACCTTTAGCTGGGGGCTCATGGTTCACACCTTGTAATCCTAGCTACTCAGGAGGCTGAGATCTGAGGATCAGGGTTCAAAGCCAGCCGGGGCAGGAAAGTCTGTGAGACTGATCTCCAATGAACCACCAGAAAGCCAGAAGTGGTGCTGTGGCTCAAGTGGTAGAGTGCTAGTCTTGAGCTAAAGAGCTAAGAGACAGCACTAAGGCCCAGAGTTCAAGCCCCAGGACCGACAAAAAAAAAAAATTTTTTTAAGACTTCTTTTGGAAGAGGGAGCTCTTGACAGGTGTGTAAGACAGGATCACAGTTCTAAGCCAACTCAGGCAGGAAAGACTGTAACACACTTAATTCCACTTAATCGCCAAAATGTTGTAAGTGAAGTTGTGCCTCAAATGGTAGAGCTCTAGACTTGTGTAAGTCTTGGTTGAGTTCAAGGCCCATGACTGGCACACAAAAAATAAATTATAGATAACAGCCAGCACTGGTGGCTCATACCTGTAATCCTTGCTACTCAAGAGGCTGGGATCTGAGGATCCTGATTTGAAGCCAGTCTGGGGAGAAAAGTTCCTGTAAGATTCTCATCTCCAATTAACCACTCAAAAACTGGAAGTGGCCCCAGTCTTGAGCACAAGAAGGCTCAGGGACAATGCCCAGATTGTGAGTTCATGTCCCATGGCCAAAAAAAAAAGTTGAGATAGCCCAGTGGTAGAGCATCTGCTACGTGTAGGGCCTCTGATTTGATCCCTAGCACCTAAAATAATAATAATAGTAATTGGAGTACAGGTGTTTCTGAAAGTAATTAAGGTTAAAGGTTTATAGTTAAAAAAAAAAAAATAGATTGGAGAGAGAAGAGGCTGAATGGTGACTTGGCTTAAATGCTGAATTTGTCTTTTGTTTTCATGCTGAAAATTACCTGTGAATATGAGTATAATCTAATCTAAACAGAGCTCTGTTCTAGGTAGATTAGTTTTAGCTCATAGAATTTCTAAAGGGAAAAAGCAATCACACCAGCCCAGATCCTCTGGCCCAAAACTTTTCAGTATTATTCTTCTGGCAACAAATCATGTGCTGCCACCTGGTGACAGACCATATACACTGTTCCACACTGCTGTTCAGTATTATTGTGAAAGGTCTGGCACCCTGCAAGCCTGTCTCCCACAGAGCTTGATGAAAAGTAGGTGATAAACTAGTGAAGTACTGGTAGCAATCAAAGACAAATAATGCTACCATGCCAGATGAATCACTTGCCTAGTGAAAGATGTAAACAACAAAGGTTCCTTGTACTTGCTTCAGGAGAAAAGTTAAATTTGAGAGGAAGTTATTTTGTTTTAGACTGTTTGTTGGATGTTTGTTTTACACTGTCTGTTGGATGTACATCACACAGACCATACCCTTTTTCTTGGGGGGGGGGCGGGGAGGGGTCATTCGTGGGGCTTGAACTCTGGGCCTGGGTGCTGTCCCTGAGCTCTTCAGCTCAAGGCAAGCACTCTACCACTTGAGCCACAGTGCCACTTCAAGTTTTCTGGTGGTTAATTGGAGATAAGAGTCTCACAGCCTTTCTTGCCCAGTCTGGCTTTGAACCATGAACCTCAGATCTCAGCCTCCTGAGTAGCTAGGATTACAGTCATGAGCCACCGGTGCCCGGCCCAGATCTGATCTTTATCACTACTCTCAGCAATTCTCCAAAGCTCAGGAAAGCTGAGGAGAACTTGGCTGTAGCTATTCAGGTGTCTAAATCCTATCACCTCAGCCTTTTTTTTTTTTTTTTGTCGGTTGTGGGGCTTGAACTCTGGGCCTGACTGCTGTCCCTTAGCGCTACAGCTCAAGGCTAGTGCTCTACCACTTGAGCTACAGCGCCACTTCCGGTTTTCTGGTGGTTTATTGGAGATAAGAGTCTCACAGACTTTCCTGCCCGGGCTGGCTTTGAACCGCGATCCTCAGATCTCAGCTTCCTGAGTAGCTAGGATTACAGGCATGAGCCACTGGTGCCCAGCTACCTCAGCCTTTTATTATTTTTATTTCAGATTACTTATTATCTCTTCGTGTGTGTGTGTGTGTGTGTGTATGTGTGTGTGTGTGTGTGTGTGTGTGTGTGTGTGTTCTGGTCCTGTGGCTTGAACTCAGGGCCTGGGCACTATCCCTGAGCTTTTTGTCTTAAGGCTAGCACTCTACCACTTGAACCATAATTCCACTTCTGGCTTTTTTGATGATTAAGTGGAGATAAAGTCCTGTGGATTTTCCTGCCCAGGCTGGCTTCAAACCTAGATCTTCAGATCTCAGCCTCCTGAGTAGGTAGGATTACAGGATTACAGGATTACAGCACCCAGAGAGTGTGTGTGTGTGTGTGTGTGTGTGTGTGTGTGTGTGTGTGTGTGTGTGTGTGTGTTTGTGTGTTCTGGTCCTGTGACTTGAACTCAGGGCTTCAAACCTAGATCCTCAGATCTCAACCTCCTGAGTAGGTAGGATTACAGGATTATAGCACCGTGTGTGTGTGTGTGTGTGTGTGTGTGTGTGTGTGTGTGTGTGTGTGTGTGTGTGTGTGTGTGTATGTGTGTGTGTGTGTGTGTGTGTGTGTTCTGGTCCTGTGGCTTGAACTCAGGGCCTGGGCACTATCCCTGAGCTTTATGTCTTAAGGCTAGCACTCTACCACTTGAACCATAATTCCACTTCTGGCTTTTTTGATGATTAAGTGGAAATAAAGTCCTGTGGATTTTCCTGCCCAGGCTGGCTTCAAACCTAGATCCTCAGATCTCAGCCTCCTAAGTAGGTAGGATTACAGGATTACAGCACCCAGCCTTACTGTCTCTTCTAGCTAGGTTGACCAAGATGCAGGTTGGACCCTTCCCATAAGCCCCTGGCCCCACCCTAGTTGAGGGAGAAAACATAGCAAGATTCCTCTTAACGGACATCTTGTTTAGTGGGTGAATGGCATTATCTTTTTTTTTTGGGGGGGGGGGGGGTTCCGGTCGTGGGGCCTGAACTCTCGGCCTGGGCACTGTCCCTCAGCTCTTCAGCTCAAGGCTAGCACTCTATCACTTGAACCACAGCGCCACTTCCAGCTTTTCTCTTTTTCTTTTTTTTTGGGGGGGTCCAGTCATGGGGCCTGAACTCTGGGCCTGGGCACTGTCCCTCAGCTCTTCAGCTCAAGGCTAGTGCTCTACCACTTCAGCCACAGCGCCACTTCCAGCTTTTTTCTTTTCTTTTTTTTTTGATCCAGTTGTGGGGCCTGAACTCTGGGCCTAGGCTCTGTCCCTCAGCTCTTCAGCTCAAGGCTAGCGCTGTACCACTTGAGCCACAGTGCCACTTCCGGCTTTTTTCTTTTTGCTTATGTGGTGCTAAGGAATCGAACCCAGGGCCTCATGCATGCAAGGCAAGCGCTCTACCACTGAGCCACCTTCCCAGCCCCACTTCTAGCTTTTTTCTTTTTGCTTATGTGGTGCTGTGGAATCAAACCCAGGGCCTCATGCATGCAAGGTATGTGCTCTACCACTGAGCCACCTTCCTCCCAGCCTGGCATTATCTTTTACCAATGTTTCCCAGTGAAAGAAGCCTAGTGAGGCCTCAGTGAGTTGCTACTGGTTCTTAGGAAATTTTGAATTGTACAGTCTAGAACACAAAGCACAGGTAAAGTAATGCTTTTATCTAAAGATACTTTCCAGAGAGCAACTACATGGCCGAAGGACCATAATCATTCACCACAAGGCATTTTTTAATGAAATATAACAAAAATGAGTTGGGGGCATAACTTAGTAAAATAAAATTTGCCTAGCATGTGTGAGACTCCAGGATCAATTCAAGCACTGAAAGAAAAAAAATGGTAAAAAGAGACTGAGAGAAAGAGAAAAGTATCAGAATATATCAATCCTACTAAGCATAGAAGCTTGGTACCAGTAGCTCACACCTGCAAACCTACCTACTCAGAAGGCTGGGATCTTAAGATCACAATTTAAAGCTAGTTTGGGCAGAAAGATCTGCGAGAGTCTTATTTCCATTAAACCAACAAAAATCTAGAAGTGAAGGTATGGTTCAAGTGGTAGAGCACCAGCCTTGTTGCAAAAAAAAAAAAAAAGCTAAAAGACACCACTCAGGCCCTGAGTTCAAGGTCTATTAGGAGCACAAAAAAATAAAATCTTTTTTTCTTACATCAGAAAATTCTGAATACTGCCTCATTAAGAGTCAAAGAAGGGGCTGGGAAGGTGGCTCAGTGGTAGAGAGCTTGCCTTGCATGCCTGAGGCCCTGGGTTCGATTCTTCAGCATCACATAAGCAAAAAGAAAAAAGCTAGAAGTGGCACAGTGGCTCAAGTGGTAGAGCGCTAGCCTTGAGCTGAAGAGCTGAGGGACAGTGCCCAGGCCCAGAGTTCAGGCACCACGACCGGACCCCCCCCCACACACACAAAAAAAAAAAGAGTCAAAGAAACTGAAACCAGGAATGAAGCTTCTATAGAAATATAGGCTGGATTGCTAAGAAGAGGCTGGATGAGCCTCAAGCAATAGAAACCAGAGATACCTAGGTCCAGGGCCCTCCAGAATATCTGTCTTCTATATCCCCACAGCACTATTGCCTCAGTGCAGGATTCCAGCTCATTATGCTCACCAGAATGAGAGCTTCTATCTCTCTCAAGTTCACTTGAGCTTATACTCAGGAAGTAGAGTTCTAAATGTCTATGGACTCAGATTTCGGAGGTAGAGATCACAAGAAATAGTCAAATAACAGGAAGAAGATATACCCAAGACTACCCCATGTGGGTACAGATTCACAGAAAACACATCATGGAGAGATAAGCCACTTTACTGCAGTAAAGGAGGTAGGCAGGAATAGGTGGGCAATGAGAAGTCTCAGGGAAAAGGGAATATCCAGAGGGGATGAGAAGGCTGCCCAGACAAGTCTCTGAGGGGAGTGAAGAGGAGGGAAAGAAAGCTTCATCCCACTATTCTTACAAGTCCTTACAGTCGCTCAGGAGCATCTTGGGAGTCCTGAAGGAGTAAGTCCTCTTACTCAAAATTCTAGGCATGTACCTGAAAGCTGCTGAGCCGCAGGTTAGAAAAGGTGCTGTTTTGGAGATCTAAAAGGAAAAAAAAAAAAGGAAAGAGAAAAACAAAACATCAGCAATCACTGTGATATGCAGCGAACTAGACCCTAACCTGTCTGTAGGGACACACCAGTTTGGCATAAGTAGCAAGAGAAATAGGTGAATTCACAAAAAGGCAGAGAAATTCCATTGTACTCATGCTAAATAATTAGGTGGCTGGCATTCAGGCATCATTCAGAGTCAGCCTCCCACAGACCTGAGATTCCTACTCTCAACCCCATATAGTTTCCTGTTTTGTTTCCTAAAAAGTAGTTCCCTTAGCTGGGCACTGGTAGCTCACACCTGTAATCCTATCTACTCAGGAGGCTGAGATCTGAGGATCATGGTTCAAAGCCAGTTCAGGCAGGAAAGTTTTTGGCACTCTTATCTCCAATAAACTACTAGAATACCGGAAGTGGTGCTGTGGCTTAAGTGTAGAGCGCTAGCCTTGAGCTGAAGAGCTCAGGGTCAGCTCCCAGGCCCAGAGTTCAAGCCCCATGACCAACAACAACAAAAAAGTAGTAGTTCCTAACTACTGATTCTGTCTGGAAGACTGACATAGTGAAGGTGGTAGCAGCTTAGATTGGAAGACATAAACAGAGGTCCTAGAAAGAACAGAATCAGAGTCAGAGATGGTAGTGATGGTCTCAAGCACACAATTTTCTTCCTCTCCTTATCGTCTAAACATATAAAAATATCTCAGTGATTGAGTGTCAGGTAAAGACTGCCCAATGCTGGCTAGCTTATGGGCTGCAACACAGAAACTCAGATTGCCCCTACTGCCCCTAGCCAAAGTTAGGATAGGTGGACTTCATGAGCCAATTCCCTCTACTGCCACAGTACCCACACATTCTGACCTGAGGAGGCTGTGTTCCTGCTGGGTATCCTGAGCCTCTGTCCAGGTAGCCTACAGAGTGTGACCTTTGCCTTCTTGGCCACTTTGCAGCTTCTCCAACATCTTCCAGACCATGAGCCCAGGTAGGCCAAACCTCTCCCTCTTCAAAAGGAAAACCCCTCCCCACCTAAGCATACTTCTATTAGAACCCTCCTATCAACTAGGATGGTTTTTCTTTTTTTTTTTTGGTCGGTTGTGGGGCTTGAACTCTGGGCTGGGCTTGGGCGCTGTCGCTGCGCTCTTCAGCTCAAGGCGAGCACTGTACCCCTTGAGCCATAGCGCCACTTCTGGTTTTCTAGTGGTTTTATTGGAGATAAGAGTCTCATGGACTTTCCTGCCCGGGCTGGCTTTGAACCGTGATCCTCAGATCTCAGCCTCCTGAGTAGCTAGGATTATAGGCATGAGCCACCGGCGCCTGGCACTAGGATGTTTTTTCATGGCCTAGAACACAGGAATTGGGAAGAAGAGTTTTGAAGTCTTTTTTTTTTTTTTGGAGGGGAGGGTGGGGGAGGACAGGGAGCTATTGAGGATTGAATTCAGGACCTTGTGCATGCTAGGCAAGCACTCTACAATTTCAGTCTTGAGCTGGGAAGGTGGCTCAGTGGTAGAGTGCTTGCCTTGCATGCATGAGGCCCTAGGTTCGATTCCTCAGCACCATATAACCAGAAAAAGGCAGAAGTGGGGCTGAGGCTCAAGTGGTAGAGCGCTGGTCTACAGCTGAAGAGCTGGGGGACAGTGCCCAGGCCCAGAGTTCAGGCCCCACAATTGGCATTTAAAAAAAAAAAACTAACTTTATGGACTGGGAAGGTGGCTCAGTGGTAGAGTGCTTGCCTTGCATGCCTGAGGCCCTGGGTTCCATTCCTCAGAACCACATAAGCAAAAAGAAAAAAGCTGGAAGTAGCGCTGTGGCTCAAGTGGTAGAGTGCTAGCCTTGAGCTGAAGAGCTGAGGGACAGGGCCCAGGCCCAGAGTTGAGGCCTCACGACTAGACCAAAAAAAAAAAAAAAATACAATTTCAGTCATATCCCCTAGTTTGTGAAGAAGAGGTTTAGAGAGAGATATAATCAGCACAGGGAAGACAGGAGTAAGATGGAGCTGAGCAATGGTTTGTGGGCCTATACAGACAACAGAGGAATAACAGGGCTTCCATGAAGAAATAATTGGAGATAGGTCTAATCCTGGTACTACCTTCCATCTGCTGGTCTCAACCTGGTGCCCTGCAGCCATATGTTCCCGCAGCAGCTCCTGGTGCTGGCCTGCAAATAACAGAGAATGAGAGTGGCTGTTCTACAACTTCTATCTTTCTTCATTGCCTTGCGACTAGCCTGGTACTGAAAACTGACACAAGAGTGTTCTGGACAGCTTTTGGAAAGCTTCCAAGCTGATTGGAAAGACTAAACTCACACTGCGAGAAGCGAAGAGCAAGACAGAACACTTCCAAGGGCTAGAGGTATAACCCAACAGTACAATATGAGCCTAGCATGTACAAGGTCATGGGTTCAATCCAACAAATAAATAAACAAGACTTTGCTAGAGTTCTCCATAGCTCAAACAGGGAGACCTGTATTCCAAAAAAGAAGACAAGGAAATATGCTATCAATCTTGTACTTACACAACTGGTCCCGTAGCAACTTCAGTTCCTCCCACAAAATCTCTGACTGTTCCCACAAAAGTTGTGGCCTACAGGAATAACAACTGTGTCATTCTAGAGTCATATAACAAAGTCAAAGTGAGGAAGCCATCTGCCTACCAGAATATCCAGAGTTCAGAGGCCTCAAGAAGGTGAAGTCTGGGGCTGGGAAGGTGGCTCAGTGGTAGAGCGCTTGCCTTGCATGCCTAAGGCCCTGGGTTCAATTCCTCAGCACCACATAAGAAAAAAGCGGGAAGTGGCACTGTGGCTCAAGTGGTAGAGCGCTAGCCTTGAGCTGAGAGACAGCGCCCAGGCCCAGAGTTCAGGCCCCACGACCAGACCCAAAAAAAAAAAAAAAAAAAAAAGGCGGCGAAGTCTTTGGTTGGGATAGTACAATACCCTGGGTTCCATCCCCAGTATCAAAAAAGAAAAGGAAGCCAGGTGCTGGTAACTCACACCTATAATCCTAGTGACTCAAGAGGCTGAGATCTAAGGATTATGGTTTGAATCTGGCCCAGGGAGGAAAGTATGTGAGACTCATATCCAATTAAGCACAAAAAAAATTAAGCACACACACACACACACACACACACACACACACACACAAACTAGAGCTGTGGCTCCAGTGGTAGGGTATTAGCCTTAAGCAAAAAAACTCAGAAACAGTACCACCCAGGCCCTGAGTTCAATCCCCAGAATGAGCACACACAAAAAAAGGAAGGAGAGAGAGAGGTAGGGGAAGGGAAGGGAAGGGAGGGAAGGGAAGGGAAGGGAAGACCAAAAGCAAAAAACAAAAAACACACACAAGCAAACCAACCCAAGAAGGTTAAATCTTGCCTTTCACTCACTCAGTCTGCAGCTCCTCTTGAAAGCTATTAGTAGTACTGTGCTTTCCTGTTCTTGGTCTTGTTTTCATTTGAGCATGGGCTAACTCCAGCACCTGGCTCCTAAGGCCCTGAAGTTCCCTTTTCAGCTCCAGGCCTTGTTCCAGAAAAAGGGCTTGCCCTTCTGGGGCCTCCTGCAGCAATTTTAGTGATGCTGTTGTGGAACAAGTTGAAGGTCTTAACCTTACTGAGAGCTTCACACATAAACCTCAACACTACTTGCAAATTAAGATATACACATAACAGGTAGGCAGCAAAATTGTGCACCAACATACAGAACTGTGCAAGGGGATAGAGGTGTAGAGCACTTGCTTAGTATACATAAGGCTTTGGGTTCATCCATCACCAAAATACAAACATCTGATACCTTCCAGGGCACTGATCTTGCACATCAGCAGCTCTCGTTCTTCCAGGAGGCCCTGCACAGTGTGCTGTAGTGTCTCAGTCACCTACTCAAGCATTTAAAAAAAAAAAAAAAAGAGCTATTATGTAAGAGGCTTTCCCAACTCCTAGTATTTTCATCTCACGCAAACCTAGGCTATCAAGGCTCACCTGAGCCTGAGACTGAATCTGCGACTTGAGAACAGTAATTTCATCCCAGAGAGAAGAGGAACTATAGGCTTCAGTCCATCTCTGTCTCTCTGGGGTGGTGGAAGTCTTTAAAGCCCAAGGCTGTTGTACTTGGGCTCCTGCCTTGAAAGGCAAGTGGTGAGAGGAAATACAGGTTCCCGCCAGGTTGTCTGCTGAAGGTATAAGGAAGGAACAAGAAAGGCAGAATCTATCTAAGTGGGTAACAGAGTTCTAGAAAGGAAATAATGGGTACTGGGAAGGAATAGTAGATAGTACAGACACTGTAAGAAAGTAGGTCTTGAAAACAAAAGATTGGGAGTAGAAAGGGGCAATATTTACCTGTAGTGGAGACTCCAAAGGAATACAGCCTCTGCTACAAAGGAAACTTCCTCAGGCCAATAAGATCTAAATGTTCCTTAATTCACCCCACCCTCAAAAAAAGCCGTGGGGATGTGGGCACCTCCTTACCTTAATCCGGGCCATACTTCCATCAGTTGCATTTAGAAGTGTGTCAATTTGCTCATACCAGTTCATATCATAGCCTGTGGCAGGGGTCTGGCTCCCTGATAGCTCGTGCTCTTGTTCTCCCTGATGGGGATATCGGAAGTGCAGCCCAGGAAAGACCATGACATTAGATAGACAAAGGAGAATAGGGATAGAAAACTAGGGAAAAGGACGCAATATATCACCAAACTACGACTCTGGCACTAGGCAAAAGAGCTGATGTCTTAGGGAGCTGGGGGGGGGGGGGGGGGGGAGGGGGGAGGAGCACAATAGTCTGATAACGCAGTTATTAAATGAGAGTGAAAGATGTCAAATCTTAGTCGATACCCCTCCAAATCTAGGACGCTGATACCAACACACCAAACCTGTGTCACCGACCACTGCCGCCGCTAGGTTCAAACCTTCCAGTAGGTGGAGAAAATACTTTAGGCAACACCGCAGCGCCACCCGGGAAATAAAGTCCGTAGTGGAGGCGGAGCTGTTTCCTTGGAAACGACCCGTGCGTACACTCCCCGCCCTCCGCGAAGCTTGTCGGGATACCGAGTCTCTCGAGGCTCTGGAGTTGTGGGCTCCAGGACGAGCGAACTACGTATCCCAAGACGCATCGCTCAGGTCCAACTCTGTCTCGTTCTGGTCCTAGTGGCTTCTGGGAAATGGAGTCTAAGCTGACTTAAAAAGTAAACGGCTGGGTTACCTTTGAGACTTCATTCCCCAGCAAGCTCAGTGTGCAGCGTGCGCTATGGAGCCGCGTGTCGCAGAGCTGAAGCAGAAGATCGAGGACATATTGAGTCCTTTTGGCTTCGAGATTTACCCCTTCCAGGTTGGTTTATCCCTCCTGTGGGCCAAGGGTGAGCTAAATGATTGGCCTGGGTGCAGCTGGCATGAGGCCCCCAGAATCCTTCCGATCCTCCCCCAAGCTCCTTCGGCCCGGTGGCCATCTAATGACCGGGACGGGAGTGTTCGCTGGGGCTCATTAAAAAGGTAGAGAAGCGGTCACATGTTTGTCCTTTTACCTCCATATGATGTCAAATTAACGAGTGGGAGACAACATATGATCTCATACCTTTTATAGTTTTTTCATCTCTATAGTTTACAAGAAGAAAGGTATCCCAGGGGCTAGAAATCTCCTTACTTCCTAAAGACGTTAGGAGAGAGCAAGGCACAGGAAGTTTGCGCGGGTATGATTGTCAGTTGAGGAGAGAAGGGCATTCCTCCTGTGCAAGAGACAATTGCTGGTTTGTTCCATCTACCAACAGAGGGATAATTCATAATGCTGCTAACCACCAGTACAGGGTTGGATGTAGAAATTCTGTGCACCCGCCTGGCACCGAAGTCTCTACAGGCCCCTTTTCCACTGCAAGCAAGCATCCCCTTTAAAACAACAACAAAAAAAAAAAAACAAAAAACACCCTAGGAATGGAAGCCTGCCTCAAGTGCTAGGAAGCATGGGGCCCTGAATTTAAAACCCAGTATGGGTATGTGTGTGTGGAGAACACGTCAGTGCCAGATGCACTTAGAATCCAGTACACTCAAACCACAATGTTAAATCAACTTGAGTCCTTTGCCTGATGCTAAAAAAAAAAAAAGTTTATTTTCCACTCTTTTACCCTGAGAAATCTACCATAGTGGCTCAGGTCTGTCTCTTGAACCTCCCAAATCCATTTGTTTCCAAACCATCAATCTATGTTCTTTGGATTACTGTAACAATCTTGTCTTGCCTCCAATCCATTCTCTGTATGGAAACTAGATTTAGATAATAGTTTTGTTTTGTTTTGTTTTTTCCCCCTGTACACGGAGATTGAACCCAGGTCCTAGCACGTGCTAAGCAAGTACTCATCCATTTGTGCTACTGCCTCAGTCTTTTTTTCATTTTGTTTTCGAAACAGTGTCTGCTACCTTTGCCCAGACTGTCCACAAACTTGTTACCCTATCTCCACCTCCTGAGAAGTTGGGATTATAGGAATATACTACCTTGCCCAGTTTGTTCTTTCTTTTCTTCCTTCTTTCCTTTGTTCCTTTCTCTTTCTTATTGTCAAGTAGTTGAACAAAATTGACTCTATAACTCAGGTTATGAGTACAAGCTTCTCAGTCAATGTTGCTCCTTCTCAGTTTACTTCCTTTTTCTTTTTTTCCAGTCCAGGGGTTTGAACTCAGGGCCTGGGCTCTGTGTCTGAGCCTCTGTGCTCAGAGCTAGCGCTCTACCACTTGAGCCACAGCAACACTTCTGGCTTTTTCTGTTTATGTGGTCCTGAGAAATGGAAACCCAGGGCTTCTTGAATGCTAGGGAAACCCTCTACCACTAAGCCATATTCCCAGCCCTCAATTTACTTCTTGTGATTTGTTTTGTTTTTGGTGCCAGTCTTCAAGATTCTGGGAGCAGTCCCTGAGCTTTTTTTTTTTTTTGGGGTCCGGTCATGGGGCCTGAACTCTGGGCCTGGGTGCTGTCCCTCAGCTCTTCAGCTCAAGACTAGCACTCTACCACTTGAGCCATAGTGCCACTTCCGGCTTTTTCATTTTTGCTTATGTGGTGCTGAGGAATCAAACCCAGGGCCTCAGGCATGCAAGGCAAGCGCTCTACCACTGAGCCCCTCCCTGAGTTTTTGTGCTCAAGGCTACTACTACTTTACCACTTGATCCATAGCTCTACTTCCTGCTTTTTGATTATTAGAGTTAAAATTGTCTTGGTGCTGATGGGTCACACCTAAAATCCTAGCTACTCAGGAGGCTGAGATCTGAGGATTGGGGTTCAAAGCCAGCCCGGGCAGGAAAGTCCTTGAAACTCTTATATCCAATAAACCCCCAGAAAACCAGAAGTGGCGCTGTGGCTCAAGTTGTAGAGCATTAGCCTTCAGCTGAAGAGCTGAGGGACATCGCCCAGGCCCTGAGTTCAAGCCCTATGACTGATACACACACACACACACACACCACACACACACACACACACACACACACACAAAGTGTCATGGACGTTCCTGCCCAGACTGGCTTCAAACTACAATTCTCAGATGTCAGCCTTCTGACTAGGATTATACATGCGCTTATTGGTTCCCAGCTTTATTTTTTAATATTCAGTAACTCCTTGCACTAAATTTTAGATCCATAGTCCTTATATTGGTATCCAAGACCAAACACATTCACCAATCAGGTGAATTCCTACTCCTCTCTCCAATCCCTCTCCAATACACAGCTCCTTCACTTCTACAAAACTAGACAATTTGCTCTTCTGTAAATAAGCACAAATATACTTGCCCATGTGGTTATGCTGTATCCTAGTTTAAAATACATAGCAGAGCCAGGCACCTGTGGCTCATACCTGTAATCCTAGCTACAGGAGGCTGAGATCTGAGGATCGGGATTCAAAGCCAGCCAGGGCAGGAAAGTGTTTGAAACTCTTTATCTCCAATAAACTACTCAGAAAAACTGGAAGTGGTGCTATGACTGAAGTGGCAGAGCACTAGTCTTGAGCAAAAGAAACTCAGGGACAGTTCCTAAGCCCAGTTCAAGCCCCAGGACTGGCAATAAATAAATAAAATACACAGCAGAGCCTGGCATGGTGGCGCAAGTCTAATCCTAGCTACTTGAGAGACAGAAATCAAAGGGTCAGTGTTTGAGGCCAGCCCAGGCATAAAAGTTTGTGAGATGAAACCCTCATCTCAACAAATGGCTGGATAAGGTGCACCTATTATCCTAGCTACAGAGAAAGCACAATGGCTAAGCTCAGTGGCACTGCCTTTCATTCCAGCAACATAGGAGGATCACAGCCTAGGCTTGCTTGGGCATCAAGTAAAACTCTACCTCAAACATAACAAACCAGCCAGGTGCCATTGGCTCAGACCTGAAATCCTAGCTACTCAGGAGGCCAAGGATCACAGTTCAAAGCCAGCCCAGGCAGGAAAGTCCGTGAGACTCTTATCTCCAATAGACCACTAGAAAATTGGAAGTGCTCAAAGTATGACTCAAAGTGGTAGAGTGCTAGCCTTGAGTGAAAAACGCCTAGGTTGGGGCTGGGAAGTTGGCTCAGTGGTAGAGTGCTAGCCTTGAACTGAAGAGCGCAGACAGTGCCCAAGCCCAGAGTTTAAGCCTCATGGCCAAAAAAAAAAAAAAAAGGTTGGGAGGTAGATTGTTGTGTATTTTTTGGTAATATAGGGGATTGAACGCAGGACCTCACACTTGGAAGGAGGAACTCTACCAATTGAGTACTCACAACCTAGGCGTTTTTGTTTGTTTGTTTTTTGGTCCAGTCATGCGGCCTGAACTCTGGGCCTGGGCACTGTCCCTCAGCTCTTCAGCTCAAGGCTAGCATCTACCACTTGAGCCACAGTGCCACTTCCAGCTTTTTTTTTTTCTGCTTATGTGGTGCTGAGGAATCGAACCCAGGGCCTCATGCATGCAAGGCAAGCGCTCTACCACTGAGCCAACTTCCCAGCCCCAACCTAGGCGTTTTTCACTCAAGGCTAGCACTCTACCACTTTGAGCCATACTTTCCTGCCCGGGCTGGCTTCAAACTGTGGTCCTCAGATCTTCTGATTAGCTAGGATTACAGGTATGAGCCACTGGCGCCTGGCTCAGCCTTGTTTTTTTTTCTTTTTCTTTTTTGCCAGTCTTGAGGCAGGCTTGAACTAAGCTGGGCTTCTTTTGTTTAATGCTAGCACTTTACCACTTGAGCCACAGCACCACTTCCAGCTTTTTCTGTTTATGTAGTACTGAAGAATTGAACCCAGGCAAGCACTCTACCACTAAGCAACATTCCCAGCTCTGTCTTCTATTTTTGTTGTTGTTGGTGGTGGTGGTGGTGGGGCCTGAAGTCTGGGCCTGGGCACTGTTGTTCCAGCCAAGTTCTCTACCACTTGAGCCACAGAGCCACTTCCAGCTTTTTCTGCTTATGTGGTACTGAGGAATCAAACCCAGGGCCTCATGCATGGGAGGCAAACACTCTACCACTGAGCCACCTTCCCAGCCCACCTTTTTTTTTTTTGGTCGATCGTGGGGCCTGAACTCTGGGCCTGGGGGCTATCCCTCAGCTCTTCAGCTCAAGGCGAGCACTCCACCACTTGAGCCACAGGGCCACTTCCGGCTTTTTCTGTTTATGTGGTGCTGAGGAATTGAACCCAGGGCCTCGTGCATGCAAAGCAAGCACTCTACCACTGAGCCACCTTCCCAGACGGACCTTCTGTTTTCTTTTCTTTTTT